AAACCAATACTAAATTTTTATTTTGGACACTGACATCATATGACTTCATCTACAATTTTTTTTGAGGATGACTTCCTCTGTAATTAATTTCAAAAGGAGATAGAGATGGGACATTTTTTTGTCTACGGAGTTGGAACATTTTAGCATATAATATCGGAGAGTAGCGTGAAATGTGGGTTCCAATTTTAACAGCAGTAACGTTTCAAAATCTAAACGCATTGATTAAGTTTATGTGAATTTTTTAACTAATTAATTTTATGTGATTTATTTTAACTATATACTAGAGTTTGGAAGGATCATAATACGATTAATTATTATTGATCCTTGATATTTAAATAATTTTATAATTATTATTTTTTAATAAAAATAAAAACAATTTGAAAAAAAAATTCATCATATGGCAATTAAGTAACAATAACTCATCACATGCCAAACATTAATAACTCAAACAATAATAACTTGAAAAATTGTTATAGCCAAATTCATTTTTTAAGTGGATGGTGCAAGAAAGATATCAAGAACATTAAAAATTATAGACTAAGAACTAATAAAAATCATTAAATTTCAAATTTTTTCTTAAATTGACATCTTGTGCACAACCTAAATAATACAAAAAAAAATTGTTTTTTCCTTCTTTCATCTGTTACAAGAAAAATGGGGATTAAAAGTGTATGGATTCAATACAAATTTTCAAAACATTTCGTTAATCTTTGATTATCTTTGAAAAAAACGAAAGGAAGAAAGATCGGGATTAAAAATGTATGAATTCAATACAAATTTTCAAGACATTTCGTTTCTCTTTTATTATCTTTAAAAAAGAAGAAAGATCTCTAAGTCTATGCTCTGGTCTTTCCTTCACATCATGAGGGGTGATAATCTCATAGAAAAAAAGTTTTACATAGTAAAGTCATAACACGAAAAAAGTTGTCTACTAGAGTTTACCTAACTTGAAATAGCTAGAAGGCTTGGCTAATAATAGCACAAAAGTAATATTTGTCACGGATTTGGAATTTGGCAACTTGAAATGGCAATGGAAAGAAGCTGTGAAAGCAATTTACTGTGCTCAAAAGTTGTATGTGTATATAGTTTGCCTAAACAAAGACTTTGTGTTGAATTTTCTTCGTCAAGGAAAACCTAAAGGCTAAAAGCATACACAAAGAGGACATAAAAGATGTGACTCTAATTTGTAATTTGGCAATCTTTTATTATGGGCTCTTGTTTTAGTCACCATGAAGAGTAGTTAAATTGTCAATCAATGTTTTAAAAGGTGACCACGCCTATTGTTTTAATTATATATAATCAAATTTAAATCAAAGGGTGACCCTTCCTTTTTAGCTCTTTTTTTAGGCTTTTAATTGATTAAATAGTTAACTAAAGGTGATTTTGTTTAATGGTATTGGTTTGTGATTGATTGAAAAGGCTTTAGCCTTTTTTTTTTTTTGACAAAGTAATCAAACATTAGCTTTGGGTGATCATTGATCATACCAATTTTTAGTCTAATCAATGAATTAAAAAATTATGTAAATTTGCCAACTACTAACAATCACTTGAATTATTGTAGAGTGCTAAATTCTTAATTAATTTCAATAACCAAAATTTAAACTATGATAATTTTAAGTACTTAAAAAATTTTGTAAATTTAATTAATGGGGAACAATGTAAAATTGAATTGTGTTCCACTTATAAGCTTTATGATTATACATCTATGAGTTAAATCAATTGTAAATTTGAATTTTTGCAGGCATCAAATAGTTTCTATTATGGGCGATCTATTTTCCAAAACCAAAATGTCGATCAAATTGGATAAATGTGTACAAGTTTTCATATAAATTAAATATCCATATATCTATTAGACAAAATATAATATTAATTACTCATCAAATTATTAGATAAAAAGTTTTATATAGAGGTGTTCTTGGGCAGGGCTCATAATTAATATTAATAGTTTATATACTTGTTCAAGCTGGGTCCGATTGAAAATTTCGAATCTTAAAATTTTTTCAAATCTGACTCAAATTAAAAAAATAAATCTCAAATTTTCTCATTAAACTTAATATATATAATTAAAAATTTAAAAAAAGTATGATTAAATTAAGTTTAATGAAAGTATATTTAATTCACATATATATAAATTAAAAATAAAAATTATATAAAAAAGAATTAAGTTTAATAAAATATATATAAGTTTTATTTTTAATTTATATATAATTTATATATATATATAAATTATATATGTGAATTTAGATCCGGCTGAGTCGAACTTGGACTTTAAATCATTTGTTCAAAGTTAGACTTAAATTTAAACTGACCTAAAAATTATGTCCGAACTCATTTAATAGATTTTAATTTTTTATCAAAACCCTCTCAAAATTTAGATGAATAGCTCGACCTTCGAATATGTCTAATTTTATACATGGCATTTAGTAAATCTGGATTTATATCTCAACATTTGCAATTTTTTTGGCTACTCTCAAATTATAATTTTTTTAAAAAATAATTATTTATAATTTTTTTCTCTAAAATTATATGTGATAATTTATAATTAAATTTATGTTAACATGTTCAAAATAGAGATCGAGTTCAATTTTTCATCCTTATATTGTCCAACTATAAGAAGTTCGAACTTTAGACGTTAACGTAAGAATAAACAGGTTTAAAATGGAAAAAAAATTTACATTTATATTGGTTAAAACAAGACTTGAATCTTTGTTATATTATACTTAATTTTTAAGAAAATCTGATTAATCTATAATGTTTGTCAATGGTATAGATTATTTATAACCATAGTGAATAGTTTTTGTGATAATTAATTAATAAGGGTTGTTGAGTAGTAATTTACAAATGAAAAGTTCAATGTGATAATTAATTTAAACCCAAAGGTAAGAAAATGACTTTACCCTCTTGGAAACGAAAGTTAATTTTGTCAAAAATTGAATCTTTATTTTTCAATGACTAAGATCACATTCTTCCTTTCACATATTTTCTTTTTCAATTTGCCCAAACAACATAGCTATAAATATTATTTTTTTAGGATCAGAATTTGCAATTAAGATTTATTATGTATAAAACATCTTCCTTCATAGTATTGAAAAAAAAAAAAAAACATCATTTTACATTTAATCTACAAACACATAATTGTTGACTGATTTATACATAAATTGACATAATATTGAAATTGATTTTTGAGAGTTACGAGTTCAAATGAGTTTATACACGTAATATTTTTTTCAATTAAATAAATATAAAAATAAAAAAATTAACCAATATTTTAAGTACTTGTTAACAAAATTCTTTTCTCTTTTTTTTTTTAATTTTAGTTAATCTCTTGAACATAAGTGTAGTATGAATGGTTGAAATAAAAGAGTAAAGGATGGGGAGTTTGAAAACATGAGGAGGTGGGGCAAAAGAGAATCAAAAGGCATGCAATAAAAATACAAAAGGAAAGGGTTAAAGATGTTTTATCCCCTGAAAATCCGCTCAGAAAATCTTGTCGGAAAAAAAAAAAATTGATAGAGAGAAGGCTTAAGCATAGCTCCAAAATACCTAGAGGAGTTTTCTTGCATAATTGGGGAAATGGGGCCAATCTTTTTTTCGTGTTTGTCTAAAGACCAGAAACACAAGCACTTCGTGAACGCTAATGCAGTTAAAATTTTGAATCCTTAAAAGATTTGTTTGTATAATATGTTCATGCACTCGTGTTAAACCTTTATAACTTATCTTTTAACGCCATTTTAATTTCAACAAATCATATGAATAATTTTCATAAGATCGATCTTAAATATTCGATACGACAAATAAATTAGTGTGAAAAGAGAGAATGGTAGGTGTGAGTGAAGACATGATTTTATTTAAAATAGATATCACTCTGTATTAACTCAAATGATTAGAGTTGATATCAACACCTATGGTTTTTTTATGGATAATTAATCCATGTTATATTCATTGACAAACTGAACTTTACTGAGTCAAATACTATACAATAAAATATGTGTGTTTCTCAATTTTTTAAAGCTATAATAAATGTAAACGCAAGAAATTTAATTTTAGCAGTAATTAAGTTTAATTAGGTCTAATGGCAAATTCATGTTTGTTCAAAATCATAGTTAAAATTATGTCAAGATGTTGAAAAAACACGGTGTATATCACACTGATTTCATAAAATCATATGTGGCAAAAGGGATTTTTCAGCAGCCCATGTTGAAATCATGCCTGCATACCTGTTTTAACCATACATGTATATAAGTCTAATTTTATTCATCATGCCAATAAAATTCTATTTTCCTTTGTGGATATTAAACTGAACTCATTTGAATATATTATATATTAATTTATAACATTCTTTTTCAAGAAAACACAATTAAATTTTTTTTTTGTTTACCTTTTAATATCGTTTTCCTATTCTTTTAGGTATTGACCAAATGCTTAATTTCCTCCTTTTATATAATTCCCTCTTCTTGAGGTTATTTATTCTAATGTCAATGTATTTTATGAGAAATGTGAGATTATTGGTCAAATTCCATCATACGCTGGAGGGAAAAAAGGCTTTCGTAAAGGAAAAACCTCAAATTAAGATCAACCTGTTGCTAAATCTTTTTTTCACACACATACATATATATATACACACACGTATACATGTAATTTGCAATTGATGCTAAATTGTTAATTAAACATTAATATTAAAATTGATAATTTTAAATATGATATAAAAATAATATGAAAAAATAAATAAATAATATAGATTAAAATTTTGATAAAAAATGTATACGAATTTGGAAAAAATAAAAAATTATGTTTTCTATTTATTATACTAACACATGTTATGATAAAATAACTTTCATATTTTATACATATATAATATAAAAAAAATACAATATAAATACACAAATTATATATGTAGCAGCTCAGACTATTCTAGGATTCTCTTCATTTTAGGGGAGTCTGATTATTTATGCATGTCGTTGTCTTTAAACCCCACCACTAATCTCTCCTTCATTTCACTCTCATACTCTCTCTAAATCAAACAACTGCCAAAGGTGGAAAAAGATAAAGGGGAGAGGAAGAAGAAAAAGGATTACTTCTTCCTAAAAGACAAACCAAACCAACTTTCACAAATCAACTGCTATACTTGCAAGGCTTTTCCAACATAAAGTCTGGATATAAACCAACTTGAGGAGAGAAAATTAATATCCAAAGGGAGAAAAAAAGAAACCCTCCCACTGATGAAGATGGGTTTTAGGAGCTACCATGTAGAGGACAAAAACTTGTGCTCTCAAGCTCCTACTTTCATTGAATGGCTTAAGCCATCTTCATCACTATCATCATCCTCATCCTCTTCTTCTTCTTCTTCTTCTTCTTCTTCGTCTTCGTCTTCCTCTTCTTCTTCTTCTTCTGTCACTCAAGAAGTTCAGTTTATGAACCCCATGACTATCATGAAACTGCCGGTGGTCTCATTTCAACAGCAGCAGCAACAAGATTTTCATCAGCTGGGGCAGGAAACTATTCAATGTCTACCTCTTTTGAGCAGGCTCAATGAGAACAAACCATTGAAAGAGGAAGGTGCTAGAATAATGCAAAAGGAAATGGGTATTGGGAATGTTAAAGAAGAAAAGATAGAGAAAGTTACAGTTTCCTTGCACATTGGGTTACCTAACAGTACAACCAGAGATAATCCTGTTGTTGAAAATAAGATTTTTAAGGAAGAAGAACCCATCAAGAAAACCATCCATGGATGTTCTTTCAACACAGAGAGTAGGTTTTGGATCCCAACTCCAGCACAGATCCTTGTCGGGCCGATGCAGTTTGCTTGCTCTATATGCAGCAAGACATTCAATAGGTACAATAACATGCAGGTCAGTGTCTTTATCTTTCAAATTCTTTAATTTTATAAATTAAAGCATGTACACTTTTTTATAGATTTTTAATTTTTAACTACAAAGAGTTCAGGGATTATCCACAAAAGATGAAGAAACTTTTTCAATTGAAATGTATTCATGGCTCCAGGCATGGACATGATCAAGTTTTCGGATATTAACACATCCATTTTTTCTTGGTTTTGTTGATGCAAAAGTAATAAACTAATAAGATTAATCCTTCTTGCATTCAAAATCATTCTTTTTTAATCAATTTATCACTCTTTTAGATACCTCAAGGAGTAAGCGGTTTCAAATTACTTGTAACTAGCTACTAATAATCAAGGAAATTTTATGGTAGTTTCCTTCCTTCCAATGACTCGTATGGTCAAGATTTTTCTTTCCCTTTTTGGTTTATGAAAAAGGAAGATTTTTTAGCTTTATTTTCTTTTGTTGGAAGCATTTTCAAACAGATAGATATGCTTTACTTTGGATATATATGTAATTCAATGTAGCAAATATATTTGCAGTGCAACTTGATGCTGAATTATGTACTTAGCTTTATGTTCCTTTGTGATTTTGATGTTATTGAGTTCCAATCATATGTCAATTTTTACCATCAATCAATGTACACACTCGTTTAATTCACCTATCACCATGCTTTTTCATCCATTGGAATTTCATAGATTAGATAGAAATTAAGGAAGAAACAGCTAAAAAACAATAGAAATAATAATTGAGAGCCTAAAAACTCCAAATTAATCATTCTAAATGACTCAATAAGCATATTCCCACTCTTAATTAGTCCTACTAGATTGCACTACATCTTATCATTTTCTTTTCCTTTTAACCTTTAATTAAAGTAGTTTTATAAGAAGTGGCAACATTTTAAACTATTGGTTAATTTGCAAGCAACATTTGAAAATGAAAGTGTTTTAGACTATATATTATTGAGGTATAACCATTTTTAAATGAAAATTGAAATAAAAATTGGCCTATAGTGAATAGGAACGATACTTTCTTTACCCTCTCGTATAGATGATCTGTTCCCTTTAATTTGTTACGTGAATGTCCCTCCATGATTAAGAAGATTTAACTAATCCACATCCAATTTCTTTTGACTTTTGTCCTTGGTTGCTTCCTTTTTGGGCGGAAAGCTATGGGGGAAGAACGCAAGCTGGGGTAGGAAGAATTTTTTTTTTTTTTTAGATTTTAGTTTATAAAGAAGTGGAAGTGGTAGGAAATTGAAATTGATTAGGATAAAAGGGAGATCCTCGTTATTTATAAATTTCTCTTCTCAATTTCTTTTTAGATGGTGGCCTCCTTTGTATAAAAAAATTTGATTAGAAAGAAGAGGGGCCAGGGGTTTTGAGAGAGTAGTTAATTTTTTTAGCTTTGGATTCTTATCTTTAGTGCGTAATTTTCACTCTTTAATCACTTTAATTATTCAACTTTTAATTAAAAGACATAGCCTAATGATCCTTGTAAGAGTCAATGGTTAGCTTTTGCAAAGTAATGATATCCTATTCTTAAATATTAGTAGATGGATTATTCCCCTTAAACAAATTAAATACCCCAAATTCAATTTTTGAAAAAGAATGATTCACCTATGTTCTATAACTATAGCTGAAATGCAAAACATCAATTCTTTAATGCATGATTTTCTGTTTTTCACAATCTATTATATGAACTTTGAGGTATAAATTGATTAACATTTAAGGCAATAATTGTGTATTTCTAAATGGATCGAAAACAAGTAAAGGGGGTTGAAATTTTGTTGGTACAGATGCATATGTGGGGGCATGGATCTGAATATAGGAAAGGGCCAGATTCACTTAAAGGAACACAACCAGCAGCAATGCTGAGGCTGCCCTGCTATTGCTGTGCTCAAGGCTGCAAAAACAACATCAACCATCCGCGAGCAAAGCCATTGAAAGACTTTCGAACACTTCAAACTCACTACAAAAGGAAACATGGTGCAAAGCCCTTCATGTGTAGGAAATATTGTGGCAAAACATTTGCTGTCAAGGGGGATTGGAGAACACACGAAAAAAATTGTGGCAAGTTGTGGTATTGCACTTGTGGCTCTGATTTTAAGCACAAAAGATCCCTAAAAGATCACATTAGGTCATTTGGCAAAGGCCATTCTCCTTATCCTTCTCTTGAAGGATTTGAAGATGACAAGGAATGCATCACTGGCTCTGAAGACGAATTTGCTCACTAGATCACGTACTCATCAGATCGATCCAAGTATCCATTTCTCGAAAGCTTTGATTTTTAGCCTGTATGGAGATTTAGAAGAGTAGCTTTAAAAGTTTCTTAGGCTTATCCTATTAAGCTTGTGCTCGGTAACAAAAAATTCTCAAACAAAACATTGCATTGAAGGCAAAAAGAGGGAGCGGTTTGCTATGGAGCACTTGCTGATCAGGACTGAACCTCAGTAACTTTTTTAGAAACTTTGTGGTAGCTTCGTATATTGGGAATAAAATAAAAAGGGTTACCTCTAATGGTGAAGTAGATGAATTTTCTTCCCTTCAATGATGAAGATTTCATAAAAATTGGGTTCCTTTTTCCAAGGGAGAAAATTTATCCGCTTCATTGCTAACTGGTAATCTTTAATAGGATCGGATTGTATTGTTTTCTCTAGACAATTAATTATCTTTTCTGTTTCGTCTCTCTTGTCTATGAGTATATTGATCATTTTCAAATCTTTGTTCATTCAATCATGTTTTTATGTTCAATTTTAATTCTAAAGTTCAAGTAATTATATTGTTTACATGCATAAGAAAAGTTATTCATGAAACTTACCATATGAGCTTCACATATGACTATTAAATTGCCAAATCCAAAACTTTTCTTTGAATATACATGTAGTTCTTTTGGGTTTATAATTATGTGGTGATATAAAATCTCATTTTTATATAACTTCATCGATGTACAAAAAAGTTTTAACTTTATATAAAAAAAATTGTAAAAATGATGTTAAAAATCATTTAGCCATAGTCACTGCTTACAAAATTTCTCATTCTTATCTAGCAATTTTCGAAGGCCAGGTGGGGGAGAGAAGTCTTATTTGGAGGCTTTCCCCGAATCATCCAATAAAACTGATTATAACATCGTACAAGAGAATATATATATATGAAGGTGGTTTAGTAGTGTTGGATCCAAGATTTATTATCGAGAGCCTTCATTTATAATATATATAATTATCAATTGATTTATCCATTTTATCCATAAACACCCTATCCAACAATATGAATCCGTCTATTAATGAATTTATTTATTAATTATTATATATATATATATATATGTAGTAGTTCACATGATACCAAAAAAATTGAATAGGGTTTTGCTTTTGTTGTATGTGTGAAAAGAGGACTTTTGGTAATGACTTTTTTGGAAGAAGACATAAAAAAAAAAAAAAAAATCATAGAGACGGGTTGAAATTTAGTTCCTGTGGAGGTAGGCTTGAGCGAATGAAAAAGTAGTGGAGAAAACGCGAGGCGTATGATTTTTAGTTAGAAAAGGAACCATGCTTTGTCGGGTGTTAATTGGAATAAAAAATGAACAATAAGGTAAAAGTGTGCTTGATCTAATCTTTGGTTTAGTTGCTGGTTTTAGCTCAACTCCTACTGCTGGAATCCCCGACAAGCCCAAAGGTTAAAGAATCAAAGAGAGAAAGAAACATCCCCATAGCCGATCATTTGGATTTTGGCAATCGGCAACAGCAGTTTTTAGCATATTTTGAAAACCCTTTTTTTTTTTTTTTGTTAGTTTGGGATAGGAAGAGATTTTATGTGTTAAATTTTAAATTTTAAATGTATAAAATATTTTTTAAAAATTATTATATAAATCAAGCTTTCTTTGTCTAAATTTGGGTTATTAATGGGCAATATTGTTGCTTCTAAATAGTTGATTCTCAGCTGAAAATCACTCCTCTTTTACTTTGCTAGATGGATTTGAATGATAAGATATTATTAAATTTGATAATTTAAATATGATACGATATAATAATATGATGTGAATATAATTTTAAAAATATAAAATTAATAAGTCTAAAATTTTAATAATAATTATATATAAATTTAAAAAAATTAAAAAATATATTTTATATTTTATATTGATATAAATTATAATATATAATTTTTATATAAAATATGATATATAAAACATATAAATTTTAATATTTTATATGATACTAATAACGAATTATCAAATTTATATATTAAATATTGTTATTGTTATTGTTATTATTATCAACTCCGAAAAAAAGTAATTATTACAGGGTAAAAGAAACAAATTAATTATAGTATTTTAGATTAATCTGGAAAACTAGCCCAGTAGGAATGCCCACTATAACGAACACATTTTCTGATTAGGCCACAAACCATGAAGTCCAATTTTCTCTTCAGATCAGGATCACCGAAAACATTCGGCAAAATTGAACCGACCCAAAATTTTATTTGAATTTTTTCAAGAAAAATCAAAAGAATAAATTGCTTTTGAGTCACTGAGACTCCACATTCCCCACTTTTCAAAATTTAACAGAAAAAGTGCTTAAATCTATCAAACACATCCAATCAAATCACTGAAAATTTCCCCCAAAATAAGCACAAAACTTAAAAACTACCGCCACATATGGAGATTTTTTTGCTAATGAAGCACCGAAACCCCATAACATTGGATTTTCTTGAATGGAAAATTTCTAGTAAATGACACAACATTTGATGAAAGTTACACCCTAGTTTTTCACACCTATAAACTTTTCAATCAAATCAGTACATTACCAATGATCATCATATAAACCATTTTGATTGCATGCACCATGTTGTGCCATGATGTAGCATTTTGCGTCTCCCACCTCCGAAAGTCCAGTGTCAGTCCAGGAAGAAAAGGAGCTGCCAAGTAGTACAAGGAAAAAAAGATCTGTTGGATTACACAGTTTAGATTACCACCTGTCAATGGTTTAGGCTGTGAAAAATACCCATTTGGACACGTGGCATTGAGATTCTTTGCATGAGAACAGATGTTTTGTTGTGGGCAAGACAAAGAGCCCAAGAGAATTGCAAGAATTTCATGTATGTCAATGTGTCATTATATAATACAAGATTGCTGGTGTTAGAAAGGAGTGCCAACGATTTTATGCTTATGAAAAACCATGCTGCAATGCCAAAACTCTATTTCTTTCACATTTGAATCTTTACATCTTTGTTTTCAATCTGTTAAAATTAAGATTGTGCTGATCTTTTTCTCCAGCTTTTGTATAGAGAGTAACAAGGAAAAAAACCATGAAGGTTTGCAGCAGCATGCTATTTTGAGTTTCTAATACTTATAGCTCTAATGGCTTGTTTCTTGGTTTTAATTTAATGGGTCAAAAGTAAGGGCTTGTTTGTACTCTTATGCTTTATTTTTTCCTATTGTGAAGGTTCATGAAACAAGGTCTCATTCTCATGCATACGCAACTGGTGATGAAGAGAAAGCAGAAGGTAGACCAGCTCAAGAGTAATGGAGGAAGGGAATCTCCAAAGAAGGCCAAGGCTGAGGATGATAATGATCACTCTAATGGAAAATCTGCATCTGATGTAGCTAAAGAGTTTGAAGAGTTCTGTAAAGCTGTCAGAGAGCACTTATCTGTTGCACAACTGAAAGAAATACTTGAAGCTAATGGCCAGAATTCCTCTGGCTCTGATACTTCTGTTGTCATGAAATGGTTAGTCCACTTCCATGTTATCGCTTCATAACATGCAATAATTCAGCAACTATCTCCAGAGTTTGGAAACTGATGCTTTAAAATCTTTCCTGTTGACAGCCTAGATATGTTGTTCTATGGACCATTGGAGAAGTGTCCAATTTGCAATGGTGATTTGGAGTTTGATGGTAACAGCTATTCTTGCGAGGGATCTTATAGCGAGTGGTCTTCCTGTGTCTATAAAACAAGAAACCCACCAAGGAAACAAGAACCAGTCGAATTGCCTGATTCTATCCTGAATTCCCCTGTTGCTGATGTAAAATTTCATATTGAATCTCATTGATTTTATGTGTCCTAAAAAATTTAGTTACATTACTAAGCTCTGTCCTTCTTGCTGTAGTTGATAAAGAAGCATCAGGATCCATGTCACCGGCCTCACCGTTATGTAGGAGTTACTGACAAACCTTTCTTAGGAATGATGATTTCCCTGATGGGCCGTCTTACTCGCACACATGTACGTGAAATAATTTCACTATTGCTGATCTTTATCTTTGACTGAATGTGCAACTCTTCTAATTTAGCAATACTGGAAATCCAAGATAGAAAAACATGGAGGGAAGATCTCTAGCTACGTCGGGGGTAATTGTTTCCAGCCTTTCAAAGTTTCAGACTTGTGCTGCTCTAAGTTCTCTTGTTTGTTGCTTGATAAAAATTTTTGCAATAACACTGGCAGGTGTAACTTGCTTGGTAGCTTCACCTGCTGAAAGAGAGCGTGGCGCCTCACCCAAGCTGATAGAAGCAATGTGAGTATGGATACAACTTTCTCAAGATTGAAATGGCTATCTCTTATAAACAACTGGCTTGCTTATGGCACAAAAATTTTGACCTCTAGGCTTTGTCTATGGTGAATGTTTATAATGGCTTTGGCTTCCTACTGCTAGCTTTTATGTTTAAACATAATTAGTTTCTGAAAGTTTCTAAGACAGAAATTAGCTTGAGAATCATAATGACATTGGCAAAGTTTTAGGCGTTTACAGTCTTAGTTCAATGACAACTCATGAAACATTTCAGGGAGAGAGGCGTACGAGTGGTGAGTGAAGCTTGGTTACTTGACAGCATTGAGAAACAAGAAGCACAGCCTTTAGAAGCTTATAACATAATTTCAGATCTTGCTGTTGATGGCAAAGGAATCCCATGGGATAAACAAGATCTGGAAGAAGCAGCACTTGAATCACTTTCAGCAGAAGTATGCATTTCCCTTAAAGAAACTTTAAGAGATAGTAGATGCTCATGGTTTGTCTCAATTCTGTGATTTAATTGCTTGCAGCTCAAGCTATATGGAAAAAGAGGAGTCTACAAGGATACCAAATTGCAGGAACAAGGTGGCCAAATCTTTGAGAAGGACGGGATATTATACAACTGTGCCTTTTCCCTTTGAGACCAAGGACGGGGCATCAATGAGTAATCTAGCAAATTTTATTTAGTAATTGTGTATCCAAAATTCCGTATTCTTTTACATTTGCTGATTTCCAGGCTTCATTAGTACAGATATTGTATTATGCAACTGATCAAGGTACCAGAGAGTAATCTCCTCGTCTACTACAAGAAAGGGAGAGTAGGTGATGATCCTAATGCTGAGGAACGACTTGTGGAATGGAACAACGTAGACAATGCTGTGAAGGAGTTCGCCAGGCTCTTTGAGGAAATAATTGGTAATGAGTTTGAGCCATGGGAAAGGGAGAAGAAGTTTCAAAAGAAGCCTTGGAAGTTCTATCGCATAGACATGGTAAAATCTTGTTATATTGAAAATTTTTCGTTTTACATGTATCTACATGAGAATTTTTTCTAATGGGTTTTGTTGTAATAAATAGGATGACGGAGTGGATGTGAGACATGGAGGACTTGGAATTCGGCAGCTAGGGGTTGCAGCAGCACATAGTAAACTTGATCCATTGGTTGCAAACTTCATGAAGGTTTTGTGCAGTCAGGAGATTTACAAGTATGCTTCTGTCAACTGTGGCCATTTATCCATTTTCTTTTCGGACTTCTGTTTTAATCAGCATTATATTTCACTGGACAGGTATGCTCTGATGGAGATGGATTTAGATGCCCCTGATTTATCAATGGGGATGCTTTCTAATGTTCATTTGAAAAGATGCAAGATACCTTTCTTTCTCCCCTCCAGTTGACTTCTTTCTCTTTAATTTTCATATTTATCATATCATAATTTCACCAGGTGAGGAGGTCCTGCAAGAATTTGTAGAAAAAGTGAAATCAATGAAAGAGTCAGGACCTAAAACTGAGGCGGTTTGGTCAGATTTTAGCCAAAGATGGTTTACTCTGATGCATTCCACCAGGCCCTTCATCTTCAGGGATTATCAAGAACTTGCAGATCACGTAAAACCTGGAAACCCAACCTAAGTACCCACTCTTAGGTCTTTCTTTTCAAGTTACTAAATCACGGCTTGGATTTTGTAGGGCGCAGCTGCATTTGAGAGTGTTCGGGACATTGTTGTAGCTTCCCATGTTGTAGGAAATATGGGTGATGATACCCTTGATGACCCCTTGTCTGATAGGTACAAGAGAATAGGTTGCTCAATTTCTGCAGTGGATAAAGACTCTGATGACTACAAGATGATCCTCAATTATTTGGAAAAAACTTATGAACCTGTCAAACTTGCAGACATTGTAAGGCTTACCCTCAGGATTTGCATATTCTCTAAAGCTTGATCTTTCTTTTGACTTTTAACAAAGCATTATTTACTCGATAAATTTTGGTCACGAATATGGGATATCAGTTGACAACATTTTCGCTGTGGAAACTAATGAAGGCCCCTCTTTTGATGAAGTAAAGAAGCTGCCAAATAAAATACTGCTGTGGTGCGGTAAGGCCTTCAATCTTGATTCATATAAGGACTATTTCTTCTGCAAGTATGAGTGAGCATTTTTTCTATTTGATGTATTCTTTCAGGTACCGGAGCTCAAACCTGTTAAGGCATTTGCATGAAGGCTTCCTGCCAGCAAGCTGCTCGATACCAGTTCCAGGATACATGGTACAGAATTTCCAACTACAATTTTCATGCTGCAGTTTAACTACCGCTCAAACTATTTAATTTTCATGTTTTATGAAAGTTTCGAAAGGGCATTGTCTGTTCTGATGCTGCGGCAGAAGCTGCCAGCTATGGCTTCACTGCAGTAGACAGGCCCGATGGATTTTTGGTTCTGGCTGTGGTTTCTCAAGGCGAAGACATTATTGAGCTCAAGAACCCACCTCAGGTATATATGCTAGATAGGTTTCTTAATACTACTTTAGTCAGGACACTTCATCCTCATAAAACCCGGAATTTCTCACTGAACAGGATACAAAATCTTAAGAAGAGAAGAAGGTTGGTGTGAAGGGATTGGGGAGAAAGAAACCAGATGACTCAGAATTTATAGATTGGAAGGATGATATCAAAGTACCTTGCGGTCGTTTAATCCCTCCAGAACACAAGAATAGTCCTCCCGAGTATAATGAGTATACTATCTATGATCCCAAACAGTTATGTCTGAGAGATTCTTTTATCATTAAAATGTTCTGGTGATTTTTCTCTTCTATGAATTCTGTTTGCCATATTTTTTTGACAACAGGCGAGCATAAAGTTCTTGGTGGGAGTGAAGTATGAAAAAAAAGGTGTGGTGATGGACACCAAGGATTAAAGGAGAGAGCAAAGAAGGGGTTTTTTGTACATCTGCTCTTTACTCTTTTCTGACTTTCGCTATATGGATGGTGGGAAGGGGCTGTAAAGGGATGTTGATAGCTTTTGTTGTACATAATCAAACCTCTAAATCTCTGTAATAGAGGCAGATGAAGTATCAAGTAGTAAACTTTTTAATCTGTCTTCTTTTTAACATTCTTCTATGGGTTTAAGTTAGGGATTGGTGTTTTCTAATCACCAATAGATGCATGATGCCTAAAAGAAAAGGAAAGTTGCATCAGAGAACATTCAAAAATAGGCAAATCAGTTTCAACAAAAGCAAATGAAGAATTCAAATCTCTTTTCACATTCTTAGTTTCCAATTTTACATTTCGTATTACCCTAAACAACCTTTGATAGTATAGGGCCAGAATATGAAACAGAGATCTTCAGCAATTGTGTTTTCTTTGACTATCTAGTGGAAAAATACTGATACAACATGAATACAACAATTTAACCTTGACCAAAGACAAAATAAAAAATATTAGACCGGGTGAAATCATTTATAGATTACCACAGCAGGGAATTTGAACTTGTCTGAAATGAATGGTATTGCTTGTGGATTCTTCACCAGATCATGATAGAATGCATATTCTGCCTCATAGTCATGTAATCGGAGCTCAGCCTTCTGATTAGTATGATAGTGATGCTTTGCAGAAGTTGATTTGCCAAAGCCAAATACACCAACTTTGTCACAAATTCCCAAAGCTAGCATAACAGCTTGCATTCCAGAGGAATAATGAAACATAGAACCATCATGAGTAGATCCCCATTCATCCAATGGCTTCCCTGTCTCCTCCACAAATCGTTTCACTGAATAATACTTCACAATCCTACCACACAACATATCAAAACGTGGATCTGTAATAAACAAAGGTGCCTTGTGAGCCGAATTGCAGACCAGATAATCCATGAAATGAACCGGCTGACAAATGTACATAACCATGGGAACATTCCCTCCATAAGGATGACAAAAACACCCTTCCCTCATAGCACAACGATGCAGTATATTGCTATTTACAAATGAAATACTTGTTTTTGATCCCACATTCTTTTCAAAATTCTCAGTCCTAGCATTGTTTAATCTAATCACAACCTCATGACCATCAATCAATTTCCCGTGATCACTATCCAACAAAATCCCACTATTCCCCACAACAGCACAAGATTTATACTTTTTATCTATACTCATTAAACCATTGTGGCTATCAATAGGGACCTTAACTAATCTAACTAAATCCATCATAATATCAGGTTGAAACACTTTTTTTCTTGCCCAATCCTGTAAGTTCCTCCTAAAATCTAACCAATACCGATAAAATTTTGGGGACTTGAGCATTACCGGTAATACATTAGATTTTCTAGCTTTGACATCTTGGTGATTGAACCTCCTCCAAGTTGCAAAAGTCCTGTACCTTCCTTGACTAGCAAAGTTCCCTTCCAGCAGCTGCTCTATTTCAAGCTTGGATTTTTCTTCACCTAAATCAGTAGCTGCAAACTTAAGCAAAGTAGAGTTAAAATTTTGGATTGGTAGGGGTTGGTTAAGGACCCTGGTGGACTCCTGCTCAGCTGAAACAGTAAAGACACCACGGCGGCGGATGGCAATCCGACAGCTTAAGGTTGCAGCCAATACAACAAGCATCACGATGCTTATCAAGGGTCTAATTGACCTCTTCATGGGAGCAATAAAATTGGTGGACCGGTAAATGGGGTTTGCTATATATGGCCAAAAAAGGTAAAAAGTACGGATCTTGAATATATCTGTATCAGATTCAGATCCATCTTCAGGTTCAGTAGATTTTGGCATGGGGGTTTTTAAACACAAATAGATTATAGATAGAACACTGGAGATAGGATTTACAAGAAACAGCGAAAAAAGATCAAATCTTTCTCATGCTAGAACAAATAGTTTCCTCTTTTTAAAAAAACCCAGAAAGGAAAGGAGACAATGATGAAATCTTGGATTAGAATATATTAAAAGAAAGTGAAATATGAATGGCAGATGAAAGTTAAAAACAGTGGTGAGATTGCTTGATAAGCTCAAAACTCATGATATTTTAGGGGCGTGTAAGAATAAGAAGTACAAACACAACTAAAACATAGCCACTGCAAAAATAAAAGCAAAAACAAAAAGATAAAGAAGCTGCAGACCATAGTATAGAGGCTTGTGGATGGGGAAACGCAGAGGTAAGGACCGAGGGCGGTCTTCACTTTCTCTGCTCCTCTGCTTTTCTGCCCATTTAAAATGCATGTCGTTTGCAGAACCGTTGGTGGGGCCAAAGGAAAAGCTAGGATGTTTTTTTTTTTTTTTGGAAAAGATTATTTCCCTGTTTAAAAAATAATGGAAGTTTCGATTATTTTATTTATATATACAATTAAATTCATGGTAAAAATTTATTGATTTTAAATTAAAAATAAAATAAATAAAAATTTTGAATAAAATTTAATCATAAATTTAATTAAATATGCTTTTATTATCATTAGATAAAGTCATAAAATTTTTCTTATTTTTTAAATGAGAGAATAAAAAAAATTTAAAAATATATTGATTGTTTAATTTTTTAAATTAAAATAAAATGTATCGTATTTAATAAATTAAAATAAATAATTATAATTCATGTAATTTTCATATTTTATTGTTTGAAGAGTGAGTTTAAGTGTAGCAGGGAGAATGGAAGATAATGTCATAAATTTCTTGTGTCTAAAGGAAGAGGAAAAAAATTTTATTTTTGTTATTTATTAAAACTTTGAGATTTAATTAAATTTATATTTTTTTCAATGATAAATATATGTATTATCTAACCAAAATAAAATTTCAAGATTTTATTTGTAAATAATAACTTTCAATTAGAGTAATTTTTTTTTAATCATTTATTTATCAAGATTTTTATTTACAAAACTGAATGAGCTGAAAATTTTGTCGAGACTTATAATTAAACCTAAAACATCTAACTAATTATGGATTTGATTGTGAATGAAATGGATGGCTCTCAACTTCGGATTATTTAGTGAATATCTTGATTTTTTTAAAAAAATTTAACTATAATTTTTTTTGGAATTTAATGTTTCATTTGGCGGGGATTTTTTTTTTCAAAATTAACAGTGATAAGTTAATTAAACTTTAAGAAAGATAAACTTTTTTCTTTTATAGAGGTGTAGTAAAATGTTAAAATTTATTTTATAATTTTTTAATGAATGAAAAATAAAATAATTAATTTTATTAAATTAAATGATAAGTTATAACATAAAAATAAATAAAATAAAAAGATATTTTTATCTCAATAGAAAGATTAAACAAAATAAAAAATGAACGTGAAATAATATAATTTTTTATAATTTTTTGAAAGAAAGGAAATATAAAAAATAATTAAATATTAGTTAATAAAATTAGTACTTTTTGGAAAAAAAATTGATTTATAATTTGGTTTAAAAACTGCAACCAGTTTCTAAAATTTTAAGAAAAAAACATTTTACTTCTGCAAAAGAGTAGGATAATAAAATAAGAAGAGAAACACCAAATCTTTCCTCAATGTGATATTGACGTCTATGATCTTGGAAACATTTTAAATAAAATAAAAAAATACAATCTTTAAAGGGACCCACTTGAATGAACGGTGACGGGAGGCTTTGTCTGGTTTGACTGGTGATTATTCGAAAGAGACGGCCCGGTATGTTACTGGATCAGACAAATTGCGGAAATATTTATTTATTTATTTATAAATATGAAATTTGTTTTCACAAAATTTTTTATTGTAGCTTGAAGAAAGAGATAATAACTTAATAATAATAAATTCAAGATTTAGCCACTTATGCATATAATACTTTTAAGAATTGATATCTTGTAAATTTAAAATTATTTTTTATAAAAATTAACTTTTATTTTATCAATGCAATCAGTTTTAATTTTAATAATTAAAATTTAATCTATGAAAATTTTATTGTAAAAAATAATTAATTAACCTTTAACTTGACCTAGAATTCTGCGTTGCATGTAGTATGCGTCAACTTTGGAATCTTCATTTTATTTTTCTTGTCATGCTTGTGCGAGCTTAAGATCGAAACTCGTGACATTTACACCTTTCAATACTTTATCACAAAGAAAAAATGCAGAGGAACCTTTCTCCCTATTGCATCATAGGATTTTATTGTATTATGAAAGTGTAAAGACTTGGTGTATCTGTACACAGTTTAATATAATGATTAAGAGCTTTTATAGGGAAATACAATGGAGTTATGGTTTAATTAGGGTTTTAACTTCTTAAGAAAAATTATGATTTAAACTTGAAAGTTTCATATTTTTATAATAATCAAAATAATTTATACGAGTTTAGATTAATTAAAAAATTACCATTTTTGTTAATAACGTTTTTAATTTTTCAAAAATGAAATTAGAGAGTTATTATGTTTTAACTCTAAAAAGGAATTATTCCATTAGGTTAGATCATTTTTTTTAAAGTAAATTACAATGAGGGGAGTTTGTTTTTTTGTTTATTCTAGAATTAGAGCATATCACAGTCAAAAAAAATATTTATATTATATTTACACCAACAAAGATTACTGACAGTAAAATTTAAATTTAAATCTTATAAGTAAAATATTTAAATTTTATCAATTTAATTAATATTTGAATTGAAAATAAAAGAAAGAATTATAGGTTTTGAAATTCGATACATAAATTTGTTGAATATTATTTTTTAAAAATAATTATATAAATCAATTAAATTAAATTTTAAATTCTAAATTTATCAAAATTCTAACTAGTCATGAAAGACAACAAGAACTTAAAATAAAGTATACAATCAATTTTAAAACATTTATTATTGAATCAAATGAAGTGAAAAGATAATTTTTTACTTAAAAAATACCCGTACTCTACTTGCTTCAAGGTAATTAATGAGATTGTATTTTATGAGTTTCCATCTTGGGAAGGTAAGGGTTAGTTACTTGAATTGGTTTTAGGTCATGGGGTGAGCTGTTTTTATGGCCAACCCCACAAGTTTGAAGAAATAATACTAATCTTTGCTTGTCTTGAGGTGCAGTCCATCCCTAAAGATAGGGATCTTTTGAATCAAAAACACATTTCCCATTTGAGGAAACTAACCCAAAACATCTTGGTTTATATTAAGCAAAATTATTTTTTACATGCAAGTAATGTGTTGTTTCTATTGTTACCTAAGCAAATATGATTGAAGGTTTATCAATCAAACTTAAATTTTATAATATCAACTACTTTTCCTTATGAATAAGTGTGGGAATGGGATCTCCTTCAGCTTAAGCTTGCTGCCTCCTTCTTAGATGAGTAGGAAAGAGACGATGAAATCATACTAAAACCTAAAAGGATGACAACATCATTACTTAAAAAACATTAAATAATAAGAGTTTATATTTGATATATTTTCAATGTATAAATTTTATATACTATCAGTGAATTAGATGACGATAATTTATTAATAAATAAATATCAGTTATTAAAATAAATATACATAAATTAAAAAATTTTAAAGTATTTATTCATTAATGAAGTGTTATTATCTTATTCATTTTATTAATGAATTGTCTACATTTAATTCACTAATAGTATATAAAATTTATACATTGACAATATATCAAATATAAACTCAATAATAAAATGTTAATAAAATCATATATAATAAGTAAATAAGAAAAAAAATCTAAATATTATATCTATTTTATAAATAACCTTATAAATCAATCAAGATATACTTTGAATTCCATTTCTTCAATTCCAACATCTAAAAACATCATCGTATTCCTTAATCCTTTGATTTGTAACAAATTTAGCATAAATATTAACTATAACAATTAAAATTGTTCAATTTAAATCATTTAGTAAATATTCATATAAAAATATGCATTCCCAACGTCCATAACTCCCTCTGCAAGATTTTTTCCACCAAAAGTAAAATTGTCCCTAATGTTATTGTCATTTGTCAAATATCAGGTCTCTATGTTGAAACCTCGCATGCCTGGATTAACAGATGATTCAATTTAGAACCTGTCAATTTAGGTTTTTAAATTTTGATCAATCTTTTTCTAATTGAAAAAAAATTATATATTTAAAATTTTTCAAATTCGTAATCTTTTATAATAACATAGCAATTGATTTAAAGATTAATAAGCCGAAGGTCGTCATTTTTTAACTCATTTGTTTTTCAAAGCGTAAATGTTTGGTGGATTATTGAATTATCAAGCGGTCATTTATGCCAATATAATTGAAATTAAACATTGACATTAAATTAAAATACCTTTCTTCTTTTTTTTTAACATTTATCGACCCTACAACAAGCACCAACGGTCGGCTACAAAGCACCATCCAAGGCACACCCTAGTGGTTGAGCGGCCGCCTGTCCGGCGAGACCCGAAGATCAACCTAAATTCATTACTTTTTCAATGACCCAAATTCTCAAATTGACAACACAATCACAAACAAACCCTTTTTCCTTCCATCATTCCTTTTTGTCGTGCCTTCAAACTCATATTTTGTGAAGCTTCACACCCTTAACAACAGGATTAGCTTTGGCAATCTGTTGTTTTCCCATCCCTTTGAAATCAAAAGTACAACCATGTTGTTCAGGGTACCTATGGGTTCCACATAGAACCATCCCACACCTGCACTTGAACCCCGTGAGCCCTAGCCGTTTCCTGCAAGTCAAGCATCTGTCAGGACTAACATGAACCTGAACCTGAACCTGAACATCCTCCACCTTCACCTCTTGCTTCGTTTCCGCCAATGGTTCCTCCTTCACAGCTAAGGAAACCGAAAACAAGGATGACACCGATGGTAATGAAGAAGAAGAAGCAGACGATGGAACGAGGGTTTGATTAAGGGCTTGTTGGCGGAGGAAGTTTGTTGTTCTTTAAGCTGGAGATCACGGTGACATTTAGAACAAAGATTTTGGGTCGCAGGGCTTCCGAAGAATCCACAGTTGTTTGTACATAGCTATGGTGCTTGACATCTATGTTCTTCCGCCATATCTTCCTTCAATTCTCTTCCCAACCTGAAAAACCAAAACAAAAAAAAAAAAAACATTTAACAAACCAAATTTCAAGACAGATTTTACCAAAATTAAAAAAAAAAATCTTAGAAGAAAATTTGCCCGAATCAAGAGTTTCAGAGAGTATAAAACAGATATGAAACCCAAATCTGACCTCTTATTAAAATCAGAAGAAAAAAAAGGAAAAAAATAAACGAGGAAAAGAATCGCTTTCTCCCAAGAAAAAAG